AATTTACTGTCAAACTGCCAACATCTGGCATTTTTACGAAAACTTCGAAAACACCCTGCACCTGGGTGTTTCTTCCCTGAAAATTTCGCGCCAAAACAGGCAGAGAAGGTTACATAAAAACCCCCAAATTTTGCGCAAGCAAGTTAGTTAATCTCCAGAATGTCAGCCAGTCACTTGGTGTATCCTGAATATTTCGAGAGCCAAAAATTCAAACCTATCTAGCTCTACTTGAAAAATCCTGTGTCATACTTTATTCTTTCGCGCACGAAAATTTGGTGTTTGGTATTTTTCGGACAAATCGGGAAATTGTCTTCTTCTCTATAATACATAAAAATTCGGTTCAAATCCACACCTGGAATATTTGAACTGAAAACGTTACTTCCTAAAAAGTTGTGTTGTGCAAGTTCTTGTATCAAAACTGTTGTACTGCTGTGTGCTGACGTGTGTTTGCTTGTTCAACTTGTATTGTGCATGCTGAAATTTTGCTTGTTATAAGGCTAAGAAAGGTCTGTGCTAGTGGGAGAAATCCCGGTCGGTCCGCGCCCGGCCAATTGCCGTGTTTTATATATTCAACTATAATTGTCATAATTCGAACTTCTTGACCTTCTGGAACTCTGCTAAAAAATCACAATCAAGGTGTAAGGCTTGATAAATCTATTTCTACATTGTAAAACCTTACAATATTTTCCTCACTGTGCTAATTCTCAAAGAACATTAATTGTTGCTAAAATAAATGGCAGTATTAAATTTGTCACACAAAATCAGAGAACCCAAATTCTCAGTAGAATCTTATTTCATTTCATCTCTGTGAGAATTTCAAAAGACCTTGGTTCTCATGTTTTTTTCTGCGCCTCCAAGGCAAAATTTCATTGCTAAAATGCTGTTGCTGTTTTTTGTCCTTAAAGGACAGTTTTCCTGTTTTCCAAATTGGCAAGAAAACTTCACTTCCATTCAAGCTGTGGTGTGGTTCACTTGATGATTTTATGCGTGATTTGAATATTTTTGGAGTACAACAACTGTAAAATTGGGTGAATTTTCATCCTGGTTTCAGCCCAACCAAATTTTGTCGTTTCATTCTTATAATCAATCTGAAATTCAAGCTTTTTTCCTCAACAGCTATATTTGTCAAGGATTCATTCCTGACATGAATTTCAGATTTTGTTGACCTTTATATACGTATTTGCAAAAAAGTTCCTATATAATACAGGAACTGCTGAGAGGAATTATTCGCTCAGGATGACGAGCCGGAACTCGGAAGACATCAAAGGGTGGAAAAACCGTAATTGACTCCACTGCATTATTTTTGCATTTTCAGTACTTCCAGGACCCCTCAGACAATTACCTGCAGAACCTGATGGACGAGGACGAGGAGGCAGATGCCTGTTACAAACGCAAATGTTCGGCCAACGAGAACTGTTGCGAGGGTTCCGTTTGCGTGGAAATCGACGGAGGTCAGCCCGCTTTTTTTCGACCTCGTTTCGCATTCTTTTCCCTCTTTTTTTCCTGTTCTGGGAATGTTTCTCATTTCCGCCCAGTGCCTGCATGAACAACACCTGAATTATTCAAGACTCACTTGACCTTTTATAAAGGAGAGTAAACCGGTTTATATACCGAACGCCAATATGTGGGCGACCCGCCGCAAATTTGCAAGCAACCATATTACGAAGTTTGGAGCGATTTTTGGTATAGAAGAGGTTCTTCAAGGGGGTTTGTGGGGTCAGCAATTTTTTCTGATGATCATGGATAATTGTATCGTCATCAGGGGGTTTCAGGAGAACTACTTTGTTATTCATTACGCACATCAAGAGTTCAGTATTATGGTCACTTGATATAAAGTGAATCGTTGCTGAATTTAACGATTAGTTTTACAGTAACTCCGAATTTTATGGAGGATTACGTCGAGTTCATGAGAATGATCATAATTCAACTCATGTCCATGCAAATTTACGATGAGCAAACACGTTGAGAAAATAAGCATCAGTCTTCATCGTAAAAAAATAAACACATTTTATGAAAAATTTATCAATCTAGGATGAATTTAAAAAAAAACCGCAAATTATTTATTCTCCCGCCAGTATCTTTTGTGCTCTTTAAAATTAATTACCCAGGAGGTCTCCTCAGATATCAGACATACAACTTGCTATCAAATGAAGCTTTCGCAGGACGCAAAACTGCAATCACAGTCACCTGCCACAATTTTATGTTGATTCATGAAATTTAGAGAAAATGCAGGAGGTAATTCTGACGTTCGTGCCATTTTAAACGTCGCTGAATTCGCGTGCATCACCTGCACGCGTTCTTTCATATTTCAATATCAAACAATTTTCCTCGTGGAAGTACTGGAATGGTTTCATTTCACGTAGAATTTCAAGTACAGTACAGTACTGAAATTTATGAGGTGCACGTGCAAACAAGAAGACAAGAATAATCAAACAACGTGGATTGACGTCTGACGTCACAAACCCAGCGATTTTCTGTGCAGAATTTGACATTCTTCTGAAGGCAGATGTTCTTGCATTGAAAACGAAGATAAACGAATCATGACCTTCCGTAGGGAATTCAATTATCCAAAAAACTGTGCATGGCATTTTTTGAGAATCCAAGCACGTGATGGAAAACATTTTTTAAAATCAATTTTTCAGAACATGGAGTTATTTAAAATTCGAAAATTGCAATCAAAAGATTTTTCAATGAAGCGGAATTTTACATTCGAATATATAATTTATTTTACATTCGAAAATTGCAATCAAAAGATTTTTCAATGAAGCGGAATCATGCTTGAAGTATCACACTCATACCGATATTTGCTTTAAAAAATTCAAGAAGGTCAACATGCATTTTTGGGATTATTTTATGCCTTTTGAAATCTGTGATAGTGGCCTTCGTTGTGTTTGCAAAAAATATTCCCCATGATAATTCGCCATTTCTACAAGTTCCAAGTGTTTCAGTGCTGTATTAGCACTCAGCAAGTAATTCTTAGGTTATAAATGTTCTCATGAAAAAAAAACCTTGTAAATTTGGGCCATCAAAAAAAGTGAAACAGACTGAAACATTGTGACCATTATAAGGACAACAGTCCCCACAACAGATGGATGAAATAATGGTTGTGGAATAAAGATTAGTGGAAACAAAATGCAGATTCCGCCTGGGACAAGGTCTGGTAATTCTTGGTAGAATCCCCATTCAATGTATAAAGTATAATTTGAATTGCCCAAGTATAGAGGAAATAACATGACATGCAGTGTTTTTAGCCACAACCAAAAATTAGCTTGAAGAAAAAGCAATAAAATGATGATCACATAACCTTTCATCAAGCTCACATATTTTGTACACACAACTGCTTCCACTGACAGTTAGGCTCATAATGATGGTTGACATAGTGTAAGATGAAGAGGATTTTTAATTACTTTGCAATGATGGTCTTGATCTACTACTTTGCTTTGGATCACACAAGTTTTTGGAGGCAAGGGATTGGCCCAGAAAAAAGCAGAGTTGAAGACAATGCTAGGGAAGAAACCTTGGAGAAGAAAGTTCTGGTAGTTTCTTGATTTCTCTGGGGCACTCTGTTTTTACTGTTTTTACGGTTGGGTGGTTTTTCCACACAAATATTTCATTCCTCAATATATGTTGGGGAACCACAGGTACAAGCCAAATATTGTTAAAATTAAAATTATAAGAAACTACAAAAATCTAGCATCAGATAAGAGAACCAACTCTCAAAGGGAAGGAACTCCTCAAGGCAAATTACACCACTCAAGAAAAATAGAAGCCAGAAACTAATTTCTGTCTTTTCCCTCCTCTACAAAACTCTAACCTCATTTGCAATCAAACTTTGAACTTTGAAGGGTGTTCGAAATTCTATCCAAGAGTTCTGCTGAGTTGTTGAAGTGTTGTTGAAACTTTGTGATAAAAATTTTTTATTGTTGGGACAAATTTGAAATACACTCAAAACAGTTTTAAATAGGAAATCCTAAAAAGATTCTTGGCCTAGTCACAGGCTGATTCTGCCTTTCATTTCAAACTTTACTTCATTCTTCATTTTTCATCCACCAGTAAATTTATTCATAATCGTGCCAAGGTAAGTTATTTGGCTTATTCCTTAAAACTTTATGAGGCACGCGTCACACTGACATTGTGGGTCTCCCAACAATAGCTAGAGAAATTCCCGTGAAGATAAATTTGGCAGTAAGCAGTCTTGTTCTGTATTTCCGGTTGTTACCCACATCCTGGGGATTGGAAAAAGGGTATTTGTGGGATAGCCAGATTCAGATCAGATTATGCAGAGGCGTGGGAAGCAGAAAACCGGTGGGATCTCAGAATTCAATTTGCCGCCTATCTGGTCCCTGTATTCTCTGGAATCTTATTTTTTTTTCTTCTCCTTTTTCTTTACCTCCAGGAGATTTTTTTTTCTCAGGCAGAAAAACCCCGTGCCGATGTTTTTTCAAGGAAAAGTGATTTAATTTGCAGGAGGAGTGCGATAATTTTGCAGCGNTGATAGTGGCCTTCGTTGTGTTTGCAAAAAATATTCCCCATGATAATTCGCCATTTCTACAAGTTCCAAGTGTTTCAGTGCTGTATTAGCACTCAGCAAGTAATTCTTAGGTTATAAATGTTCTCATGAAAAAAAAACCTTGTAAATTTGGGCCATCAAAAAAAGTGAAACAGACTGAAACATTGTGACCATTATAAGGACAACAGTCCCCACAACAGATGGATGAAATAATGGTTGTGGAATAAAGATTAGTGGAAACAAAATGCAGATTCCGCCTGGGACAAGGTCTGGTAATTCTTGGTAGAATCCCCATTCAATGTATAAAGTATAATTTGAATTGCCCAAGTATAGAGGAAATACATGACATGCAGTGTTTTTAGCCACAACCAAAAATTAGCTTGAAGACAAAAGAATAAAATAAGGATCACATAACCTTTCATCAAGCTCACATTATTGTACACACAAATGCTCCCACTGACAGTTAGGCTTATAATGATGGTTGAAATAGTGTAAGATGAAGAGGATTTTTAATTACTTTGCAATGATGGTCTTGATCTAGTACTTTGCTTTGGATCACACAAGTTTTTGGGGGCAAGGGATTGGCCCAGAAAAAATTAGAGTTGAGGACAATGCTAGGAAAGAAACCTTGGAGAGGAATTTTCTGGCAGTTTCTTGATTTATCTGGGGCACTTTGTTTCTACTGTTTTCATGGTTGGGTGGTTTTTCCACACAAATATTTCATTCCTCCATTCATGTTGGGGAACCACACGTAAACACCAAATAATGTTAAAATTTAAAATTAAAATAGCTACAAAAACCTAGCATTAGATAAGAGAACCAACTCTCAAAAAAGGAACTCCTCAAGGCAAACTAAACCACTCACGAACGATAGAAACCAGAAAACAATTTCTGTTTTTTCCCTCCTCTCACCAAAGAACAAAACTCTAACCTCATTTGCAATCAAACTTTGAACTTTGAAGGGTGCATGAAATTCTATCCAAAAGTTCCGCTGAGTTGTTGAAGTGTTGTTGAAACTTTGTGATAAAAATTCTTTATTGTTGGGACAAATTTGAAATACACTCGAAACAGTTTTAAATAGGAAATCCTAAAAGTATTCTTGGCCTAGTCACAGGCTGATTCTGCCTTTTATTTCAAACTTTACTTTATTCTTCATTTTTTGATCCGCCAGTAAATTTATTCATATTTGTGTTAAAGTAGGTTATTCCTCAATAATTTATGAGGTACGCGTCACACTGGCATGGTGGGTCCTCCAACAATTGCTAGAGAAATTACCGTGAAGATAAATTTGGCAGTAAGCAGTCTCGTTCTGTATTTCCGGTTGTTACCCACATCCTGGGGATTGGAAGAAGGGTATTTGTGGGAGAGCCAGATTCAGATCAGATTATGCAGAGGCGTGGGAAGCAGAAAACCGGTGGGATCTCAGAATTCAATTTGCCGCCTATCTGGTCCCTGTATTCTCTGGAATCTTAAAAAAAAAGAAGAGGAAAAAGAAATGGAGGTCCTCTAAAAAAAAAGAGTCCGTCTTTTTGGGGCACGGCTACAAAAAAGTTCCTTTTCACTAAATTAAACGTCCTCCTCACGCTATTAAAACGTCGCTATTTCTGATGAAAAAAACAAACCCCCTTTTTGCATTGTCCTGAAAATTTCTCTTTTTTATTCTCTCTATCGTCCATCAAAGTTGTTTGCGATGAATAAAACATTCTCCTCATGTGCCAAGGGTCTCATTCGTAATTTATTCAGTTGACCTCAGATGAAACTTTGATGACCCAGACCCTGAGTGAGGGAATGGCAATCATTTGCTACAATTTGCGGAAGTTCCGCACGGGTGGATTTCTTTATTTCGTACAGGGCAATCATAATCTGTCAATTTAATGCTTGATTCATCAGATACTTCAATTATATTGTGACGGAAATTACGTGTAGTTTCATGTTTCGAGCTTGCGACAGAATTTTCAATCTACATCTTGAGAAAAAATTCCGCAAAGTCGAATTCGAGAGCGTCAGCGTATAGGAAATACTTTTTCTAAATTTTTTGAGGCCTCTGAAATTGTATTTGAGAACGAATATTATTTTTCAAATGTGTTGCAATCGTCTTTAACCATCGTCTCTTGCTGATGACAGATTGATAATCCCTTATCTGTTCATTGATTTTTTTTTCTTTGAAACGTGAATTTTCGAAGGTTTCGGCCGACGATGAGACGAAATATCATTTCCAAAAGGACTTATTCTTGCTGCGGAAAGCTGTTAATTTTCTCCCACTGATTTCAAATTTATTTCGTGCCTCTAAAGTGATCATTTTCAAGTTTTGAAACGACGTTTGATGATTTATTTTGCATTCAATTTCCAGTCGAAGGAGAATGTCTGCCAGCTGATGGAAGGAGCGAAGGCGAACGATGCATCAGAGACGAAGACTGCGAAGTTGGTTTGTTCTGCGAAAGGGAGCACAAATCAGGTGGCAAATTTTGCCAGGCCTCAGTGTCCAGGAAGAAGCAATTGAGTGAGTATACTTGTCATCAGAAAACTCCAATTGCAAAATTTTCCGAATATATCCAATCTAAAATTCCGAGCAGGTAAATCAACGCTGTCATTCAGTTAAAAAAAATCCTAATAACCAGGCTTCCGATCTTGAATCTCGACATACAAATTAAAGAAGTTGGATTTCAAAAAAATCATTTCAACAATTGTGTCATGATTTAGTTTTCTATTCTGGTTATTTTTGATGCTTGATTCTTCATCTCAGCATCCAAAGCAAGTTTCTTCTAAAAATGTTCGCTTTTCTCGCTGAAAATCTGTCTCCAACGAATATTCACAGAAAAAACAAATCAAATGTTAGTGTTCCAAAACTTCAAAAGAAAAAAATATTTTTGTGTGAAGTTTCTTTGAAATTATAAGTAATATGCAGAAGTGCCACGATTAGTCGGTGTTGCACGAACATGTACCAGCATGATCTAGGATATTTTTCATACATTCTGTCGGCAAAATTACTCAGGAAAAGAATGAAAAAAGAAGTAATTCATCAGTATCTATAAACACCTACATATAAAGGAAAACTTTCTTTCTCGATAGCGAACAATGTAATCTCTTGGCTTTGTTCCCATGACGCGTATTTTCCCGGAGTAGTTTGCGTGGGTGTGCTTCTGATGAAAGGGAGTTCTTTTTCTCCCGAATTATTTTCTGGAATGAACAAAAGTCTTTTCTTATTGACACAACATCTGAGCTTTGCTATTTTGTTAGCTTAAAATGATTCATCAATTGATTTTTTATATGATGTAGGCAGCAGAGAGCAACGATTGACTGTTTTACTTTAAACAATTTTGATGAATGAGCAATTACTGAAATATTCGAAGATATACTCCATGAGGTATTTTTTTAAAATTTGAATAACATAAGAAGTTTGCCTCGTGTATAGTGTCAATTGCAAGTAGGGTTTTAAAATTTGCAGATATACCAGAGGCCTGGCTTGAGTTATGTCATTTGAAAAAAATTGTGTAGAAAAACTTCAATTCTGGAAAAAGTTGAACTCCCGTATCAAAGCTTACAGCAAGCAATTGATTATACTAGCCTTGCTGAAGGTTTTTTTATGAGCAATTTCGTAAAATATGCAACCGGGGAATTAAAAATTGTACACGTTTGCCCAGTTTTAAATTTAGTAAGGCATAAAGTTTCGCAATAATATCCGAACTGATTTCAAACACTCTTCAAAAAGTGTTTTCTATATAATGCCTGTAACTCATTTATGCGCTGATTTTTTGCCGGGAAATTTCGGCTTAACGTTCGACAATCTTTCCATATTCAAATTTCACGAATTTGAAGTGCAATTTTAATTTTTTGCTCGCTAATTTTTCAGATGAAGGATGCGACATGAGCGTGGACTGTGACATCGAAAAGGGTCTCTGCTGCCAGTTGCAGCGCAGGATCAGGCAACGCGCAAAGAAGGTTTGACAAATTTCCGCAAGGTCAATTGTTGACCAAGGAATACAAAATATTGAATAACATTTCAAATTTTCTTGAATTTTGGAATAGGAAATTTGCAGAAAATAAAGGGAACTGAGGGGTGCAATTCTAGTTTTAAACTGACGTAATAGAAGATATTTCGAATGGGGGAAATTCCTGCTGTTGAATATTTCATGGAAAATTGAATTTTCAATATTCGAACTGTCTGGAATATCACACAAGATGTGAGCTTCAATTATGTGCGCATAAACGTGTTTTGACCACAGGTATTAATTGTATAAAAATTATGAATTGTAAAACAAATATTTTACAGTCATTCGAAGACTTCAGTGACGCCATGTGCAAATTTGAAAATAAATTTATCGATTCCAACAGCCGGTGATAAAATTATACATCTTCATGAATTTCATGGTTGGCGACATTTTTTCCCACATTCAATATTCGAGAACTTTTCTTGATTTACTTCTTCGTGTAAATGAGTTTCGAGCACAATTATTCTAGCGAAAAGCTATAATTTTTGAAACAATCATTCATGAGAGTCATTTGAATAATAAACCCCGCTCCAAGAATCCCGACTTCAACAAACTGTGAAAGAATAATGTTCAACTCATTCACAAATTTCCTCGCGAACGAAAAAATGTGGGTCATTCATTAAATTTCATTTCTGCGAGTGAATTGTCCGTGAAAGTACTGGAAATTCAATTTTCTCACTCGTAAATGTTGCTTCGTCGGCTGTGTTCATACGAAGAACTTTCAGCAATATGGCACACCAAGTGCAAACTTCCAAATTGCCTCGTGCTAAATTGCCCAGAACAACAGCCCATTAAGAAAAAACACCGTTTTATGTAGTACCACAAGGATCGCAGAGTATTTGCAGGAAATTGAATTTCTCGTGATCGCGGCAATTCCAACTCCTCTCCTATATTCAGAAAATGGTTTCTGTAATTTTTTTTTTCCAAAATGATACGAATTTACAAAATGTTTAAATGTTGATGATTGATTTATTTTTCCAGGTCTGCTCTTACTTCTCAGATGCTCTTCAGTGCATCGGTCCGGTCGCAGTTGACAAAGTCAAGGTGGAACTGCCCAAGTTGCCAGTCCCCGGGGAAAAACGCATCTATTTCTAAAAGCTTTCCCCTCATTTGAATCTCCCACAAAAAAAAAGAAGAAGAAAACATTCCGAATTTCGTCGTTTCGAGGTCAAAAAACCCCTGTTTGTTTTACCTCATGGACTTTGTTCGAGCTCTGCTGGCTGGTGCCTCGAGCAAGCCCAAGAAAAACAAAAGAAGGATCTCTTAATCTTAAAGAAAAACTGTATCCCTGGCCTGAAGGGGGTTCTTATTGTAAATAAAAATTTCCCACCCCATTTTTTGCTTGCTTTTCTATAGAAAAAGTCTGAGGACTTGGCAGGTTGTATCGTAGAGCAATAAGTCGACACAAATCCCTTTTTCCGAACGAAAGAAGAAAAAAATGAGACTTGGCTTCTTTTAGCTTCGTAAAAAAAAACCCTCATTCCCCCTTTTTTTTAATGTTCCGGTTGACAGAAGAAGAGAAAAATTTGCATATCAAAAACACGGAATCTGTTCCCCATCATATCAACTATGGGCTTTCGTATATACATTCCAAACAACTAACAATCACTCGTGTCTTTCTGATGGCAAACAAAAAATTGAGGTCTTTCAATGTCCAAAAAAAAATATTCGAGCCGGAAATATTTCTCAATCCGCAGAAAGAAAAAAATTATTTCGTGTCGTCAATGTTTGTTTTTTTCCCCCGTCGTGTTGAATACTCGATGCTTCGTGTAGAAAACAACAGAACATGAAAAAGGAAAAGAAAACCTATTGTACAAGTTTTGAGAGCTGACTTTTAGTGTAGTCAATCAGCGTCAAATACACTGCAAAAACGAAAAAGCTGCGGCGAATGATGCAAATTTCCGGTGAAACACGAATTCAGTCGAATAAAAGACGGCTATTGAGAGAAAAAATGCGTGTCTTTCTTTTTCCAATTCCAAATCTCCTCAAGATTAAAAAAAGAAACTGAAAAAATTGATTTTGAAACGGTTGATGAACAGGTCTCCGAAGTCACTAAACGTGTAGGTCATGACTTGGAGCGACATCTAGTTTATGCATGTTGAAACTGTGAAATTGAGTCTCCGGCATTTTTTCCCCCTCCTGCTTTGGAAAGTCGATAAAATACTTATTCACTGAGAAGCTCTTTTTGTTTATTTCGACCAGCAAAGATCTTCGGTAATTTAAGCTCAATTCAAATTTGTCCCTGGATTAATAAGAGCAAATGAATCTCGAGGATTGATATAATTGATAATTTTTATGGATTCAAAGTTTTTTTTTTGCTCCCCATTTTTTGCAGGAGAAAGAACAGTTCATTGATTTAGCAAGATAATTTTTTTATTAACTCTCGCGATATCTAAAACTGGATGAAAAAAAAGAGAACAAGCTGAGGTAAATTTGTTCCACATCAAACTTTTATTTTACTGCATTGTCAGGCCATATTTCGTCAACTTTTCAAGTTTTATTATTTGCGGAAGAATGGAAAGAAAAGGTTTACGGAATTTGTTTCAATAATGTGTCCTCATAATCCTATAAGTTGTGAACCCAAATACTGCGCATAGGGTTCTCCCTCGCTTTCATTCCCATAAGTAAGGTGACTTCCTTCTATTGGGGCCCTAGCTAATAGCTATTATGGGAGAAAAGAGGTAGTGGTCTCTGGGGGTTAATAAAAGGGGTGGTTGAAATGGAAGCGAGGACGGAGGTTTTCAATAGGAACGTTTCTTTCGTCTTTCAATATATTTTCTTAGACGCTTCTACTATAATAGTGCATTCATTGCAACAATAAAAATGTGAAAACGATGAAATGTAGATCTTTAATAAGTTAAATCCTCATTGTGGATTCAGGGCGGAAATGTAAAAGAAAATGGGTCACATTTTTAGCATCGTATTATCGTTTTTTCATAAATGTGTATGGTCGAAAATGCGCTTCTTAATACTTTTTCAAGTTTTTAAAAAAGTGAATAATGCTAATTCGTGGGATTTTTAGGGACCACTTGCTTTTTTTTACCTAATGAGTATGATGTTTTTTTTGAAAACAAAAATACTTGAGATTCACATGTTGAAACCCTTGAAACCCACCTTGAAACCCAAGGCGCCCATATTGCCCCTTTTACCGCTTTTCCCTGCAGAAGAAACCTTCACACTTGTAAACAAATGTTGTCATGCAATTTGGTGTTACTAATGTGTGAAGTACTGCACAATGCATATGTATATTTGTATGCATATATATACATGTGTGTGTATATAGAGAGCATTTCAAAGCAGTGGTATGCAAGAGAGAAGGAGGGTTGTATGATGGAGAGGATTTTCTGGCCGCTTTGCTTTCCTTCTCTCTTCTGAAACGACCTGGCCTGCTTGCTGCTGGATTCTTTTGCGGCCTGAGGATCCTACAGGGGATCCTTTCCCTGCCTATTTTTTGGCTCTTTTTTTCCATCCTCTCCTGAGAGCATTGGGTATTGGGTTTCTTGCATTCAGAGGCAGGCAGTTTGGCGGAGTGGGATTTTAAGGGGTTCAAAATGGTATAGTTGATCACTTAAAATATACATGCTGGTCTTTGCCTTGGTTAACCGAAGACTTCAAAAAAGAAAATACAGTAGAAACGTTTTCTGCGCTTAGTGGTGTGCAGATAATGCACTGAGAAAACCTATTGAAGGTTGTTCCTAGTCTCTAATTCGATTTAGATTCAAAAGTCATCTTCACACAAATTTCATTTGTGAGGGATCACTCACTTTCCTGTTGTTCCTTCTTTAGCATTACATTCGTTAGATCAGTGTTGAGATTTGGTTTGTGGACTAATTCATTGTATTTCCTGATTGTGTCCAGTGTTCAGTTTTCTTTTCAAATTTGGTAATTTCTTTGCCATTAAATTACACACAAAATAACTGGGAAAATATATTCAAGGTTTCTTCTTAACCCTCAGGCAGCACTGGGTTCTTTTCCATTGAACAGTGGTGCCAGGGCCAGGATTTTTTACACACTTGTGCCTTTTGTCTCAATTGTTATCCAGGAAATACTTGGGTTTGTTTCCAAGACCTCTTTTTAAATTGCACCTTACTTTGAGGAAGCAAACAAGGTTTTCTTTTCTCCTTGCAGCTGTTCCCCTTGTTTTGAAATCTCTCTTCACACGTCACCCCAGGTTAAACAGCGTGACGCGCTTTTGTCCTCTTTAACTAATAAAACTCCCCCTCACTCTTGACAGTGACGAATGAGATCTGCACACATTTCTGCGCCACCGCAATACCTCTGAAATACAAATTTCAGAGGTATATACAATATACAATGGATTTACATATATATATTGTTGTGTATCATGTTTTCGGATATTTCACTTCATGAGGTCCACGCCCTCATGAATATTATATGGGATACCTTGTTGATGATCCGCATACCTTGTTGCTGACCCGTATACCTGAAAAGCATATATATTGCTGAGGAACAATATTCTCCTCAGATTTAATCCTGTGTTGACCGCAGTTACTTCTCAGAGAACCTTGTGTATGTTCAACAAGATTCTCTTAAAACTTGTCTGTTTTTGTTATAATTGTCTTGAACTAATCTGGTTGTGAATAAAATATATCTTTTATATATATATATATATTTGGAATTGTCTTTATTTTAGTATCAGACAACACAATCAAAGGTCATGAAAATACAACTTTGGCTGAGTAGCTAATGTAGAGAAAAATTCAGGAAAGGAAAAGCCATTGTTGAATTGAAATAGCTCAATTGGTTCAACAGATATCACAACAAAAATTAACTTTTTTTCTGAAAAATTCCAGAAAAGTGTCAGCAGCTTTCCATGCAGATGTCTGGCAATATTTCTTGGGGGTTTCAAGTGTCTTCCTGTCAAATCATTCATATGTAGGGTGTCTGCATATCAGGGTCTCAATGTATATCATTAATATCAAAAATCCATGAGGTCTTCTCACTGATCCTACTTTTGTGGATATACTTGTTGATGACTTTGCAATGAAATTTCTCTGTCTCTCTCTTTTTTCCTGTCCACCACAAAGGTTGCCTGCTAGCTGCTGCTGCTGCCTGCTATCATCAGACCCCGTGGTTGTCCAAGGAGCCTGGAGGAAGGTGGTGGAGCATTCGATGCCACGCTTCCCTCCCCATGGGAATTCCTGGTGGAGTCGGAGCAGAGAGGGAGTACAGGGCTATTTTTCGGTCCGGTTTCTCTGCTTTTCGGGTTTTCGGGCTTCCTGGAGGTCTTTGCTTCTCATGCCCCAGAGGAAGCTTATAGGATTTTTTTGTCCCTTTCCTCACAGGGTGCCACCGAGGAAATGCTTGCACGGGCTGAGTGCCTTGTATATCTCGTACATGTATGGAAGTATCATACATTCCGCTTAGTCGAACTGTCACTGGCAGAAAAAGGGGGAATCGTCTGAATTAGTTTAAAAGTGTTCTAGGCATATATATAAGGTCATGCTCGCAAATATTCCCACTAACCACGAATAAAAATACAGAAACCGAACGATCAAGCGTATAGTTTTTATAAAATCAAATTCCGAATGCTTCGGCCGGGTCAGAAAACCTGTGATAACTGCTAAGTCACTCTTTATCGTCGTGATTTTTGGAATTTTGAAGAAATGTTGACACTTTTGGCTTTTGAACAATGAATCGAAGAGCATGAAAAAAATTCAGATATCGGGAATGAAAGGGAAATCACTCCTCAATTTTTATCGCAGGAATTATTTTCATGGCTACAAAATTTTTCTGCTTTCAAATTCCTGTAAAAAAAAGTGTAACTCGGAAAATCCGACGAAATTTTTTTTTTTCCACCGATGGAAAGATTTATTGCAATGATGAAAGCAGTCCATATCTAAATATTTATTTCGGACGCACATGTTCTTTGAACATGTTAACATTTGACCGCGACCGGATGATTATTTTGATGCATTCAATGACGGCTTGTTTAACGATATTCAAAATACATGTATTTAATGAACTTCCAAATAGAAGCGAAATAAATTTTTAGCAGTGGAACATTCTCGAAAGAGAATTTCTGATGGAGTCACCAGCTCGTACGTTGGGAATATGACACATACAATCCAAGAATACAAGGTGGTCCCAAAAACTATAAAGTGAATCCCAAAGATGTGTTTTTGAACCGCACAGAATATGGAAATTTTAAAATTAAAATTTCCATATTCTGTGCTACCACAATAACAAGTGTTTCTGTTTTTTTTAAATCGTTATGGTTATGTATTTCTCTGTATAATATTTCTGAATGTGATCAGCATGATATTCTTGAAATCAGCCTTAAAATTGACCTAATAACTTCATTATGAATATTTTGCACTGAATATATTGACTGATCATCATATTTGTATCCTCGAAATAAAGACACTCGTCTGTATAATACGTCCCAAAAATATGAATACTTTCGCATGTACCCTGAATATTTGCTCAGTAAATGCATTTTGAAACCCAGCAGAGAGCTTTCAATTGTGGGATATGCAAAATTCAGAATATGAGTGGGACCGTGTTAATCACAATTTTTACAGCAAAACATTGCAAAATGGATCATATTTTTTTCGCCAGTGAAATTGGCATTGAACACAAACGTTAGTTTTTCTTGTGTGATAAGACTAATAACTGAAGTGCAAATTATATTTTATCCCTATTTTGAAAAATTTGTAAATAGAAATGGATAACCTTCATTACTGCGAATGTAATACCTAATAAATCAAATTTCACAGTTTTTTCGATCATGATTCATTTTTCTCAGATTTTGTGCGTTTTATCTATTTTTCGTGCTATGAAAAGAGCTAGTCAGAATTTGAAAAAAAGTTGAAAATAAATGAAAACCGCACATGCAGCCTGGGATGGGCTATAGACCTTCTTGTAAGGAAGGTTCTTCGGTGAGTTTGTTTCAATTATGCCCTAAAGTTACCACAGCAACTCAACGCAG